AGTTCAACGGAAAAGTGCGTCGCTGTTATAAATTTTCAATCGTAAGTTTTTATGAATTTTTCATATTACAATTAGACTGTAGTGAAAAGTATTTATTTTAATTTAGCTATTAGCAACCGTAGATGGAATACCCATGCATATTTTTTAACTTATTTATTTTAGTATCTTAGGTTATGGTAAATATAACAATATAAAAGGTGACTGAAAATATGGCCACCAATTGGCCATATTTTCCTTATGGGATTTTCTGTTGCTTCCTAGAAGAACTCTCCGAAGATGTCTGATATATAAAAAATATGAAAAATTTTAATTGGAAAGAAAACCACTACTTAATGCTCAAGAAGAATAGGAGCTAGCATCTCGTATCATACTATTAAGCGATGTTGGATACCCTTTTTCTCCATGTATACTTCGCATGTGCGTCAATTGTGCTTGATTTAATTAGTGTTGTTTGTTAATTTTTTTAGTATTATGATTTTGTTAATTTTTTTTAGTATTTAATTTGTTCAAATTATACCAGTTTCAGATTCCAAAAATATATCTTATTTAAAACATCAAAACCACTTGAAAATAGAAATTGCCTACATGTTCAATTTATGCCGTTAATGTGATCACTTTACATGGCCATATTTAACTACACTATCGTAAATATGGCCACTTTCCCAGTTATTAAAAATTAATAATTTATGTTCAATTCTATTTACATATTGTTTTCTTTGTCCTATAATATGATACCTAGGTAAATACACTACGAAATAAAAAAGGATTAGTAATCTCAAAATTTAAGCGATATCAGAAAATTGATGTCAAACCTTAAGGTGGCCGTATTCGACCCAGGTACCTTACATTATTTTGATCTATTCCGTAGGGTTCAGCCAGCGTTTGCAATGTAAGCGCAAAAAAAAGTGTTTATTTACATCACATTACAAACCTCTAAAATTATCACTGTTTCTCTACTATATTATGCGTGTATTATACATATAAACTTTCCTCTTGAATTATTCTATCTATTAAAAAAAACCACATTAAAATCCGTTGCGTAGTTTTAAAGATCTATGCATACATAGGGAGAGACAGCGGGGGAAATGCGTTGCATGATTTCGTTACATAGCAACTCGCATGAAACGAACTTACCCTACCGTGCGTAAAGAAGTTTCACTTCAAAAAGGATAGAAAATGACGCAGTCTGAGTTGTTTCAGGTGGAGTTTTAGGCAATAAAATTGCTAACAAGCTACCGCCCTTGTTTACTCCTAGGTAAAATTATAATATTTATCATCATCATTCAATTAAAGCATGCTTTTTATAAACCTCAAACTTGTTTGAAAGCTTGGTGCAAAATAGAAGAATGACATCCTGAGTAACACATCACTATTAAGATGACTCTCAGCTGCAAAGGTAGACTAAAAAAGGATCGCTGTCTCGTAACTATGTCACTAAATAAAGTTCGGATCGTCCTTTTTATTTGTGCAGATGCGAGTCATTCGACAAAATAAATCTCTTGAAAATGTAATTCAGACTACACAAGACTTTTCTATGTACCACGGATAATTAAATGTCAAAATTTGGAAGGGCTCAATATGTCCTTATATTTGGTTAACATTGATACAAATCAAAGATTATCAGATGTAGATTGCAAAACAGAATTAAACAGAGTTGATCTTATTGCTTCCAACAATGATTACAACACAGGCGTATGTATAAGTCTTAGATTTACTAAAGAAGAAATTAGATGAACAAGTCCTCGGTTGTCAACATATAAAGACTGATATATTAATTTAAAATACAATTTGCTCACATTCATACGAAATATGTCAAACGAAATCGGGAAATTTATTTCAAAATTTACAGAAAATAATATATATA